TCATGGGCGGGGCTGGGCACAGAACTGTAGGGTGGCTGGCTTCTGAGCAGGCTCCACCCCACACCTCTGGGCTCCTCAGGAACCTCCTGCACACTGCACAGGGGCACCCGACCAGTGCCACGGGGAACCTGTGGTCAGCCACCTCCTAGCCACAGCACACTGACCCCACCATGGACGGAGACAGGTGGAACCTCGAGTGGACCCCGGATGCCCAGCCCATTCCACAGGGGCAGCCCTGGCCTGGAAGCAGCCTCGTGGGAGCAGGACTCAGTGCATCTCCACAGAGCTACCTTCCAGGCACAGCTTGGTCGGAAGCGACCTGGGGCCAGGCTCTGGGCCAGCTACCAATGACTCCACCAGGCAGTGCCCAGGCACAGCCACTGGGGTGGCAAAGAGAAGCCCAGGTGTCCAGGGCAGATGCCATGTCACTGCAGGGCCAGGTCCTGAGCCCTCACCCTGCTGGGGTGGCAGCCCCAGCTCCAGGCCAGCCCAGCACCCTGGTGTTCTCCCAGGCAGGCAGCTGCAAGCCCTGGACCCACCTGTTCTTCCTGAAGGTCCACAAGAGCATCAGCAGCACCATCGTGAACATTCTGTTCCGCTTCAGGTGGAAGCACCGCCTCACCTTTGCTCTGCCTTCCCAGCAAGCCGCCCATTTCTTCTACCCGGTCTGCTTCTAGGCCAGCGTGGTGGAGGGCTTCTCCAGGGGCAGGAGCCCTCATTTCGATATCACGTGCCGGCACCTGAGGTTCCAGCCCACTGAGGTGAGTCCTGGGCCCTGAGACTGGGGTGTGGGAGGAGAAGGTGATGGCTCACACTCTAGATGGATGCCACCTGCACACAGGACCCCAGGAGAACTCACAGGTGTGGAAAAGCATTCCGTCTTCCAAGAATGAGAGCCCTGCGCTTCTCTCCTGGAGAACCTGGTGCCCTGAGCAGGGAGGGGAGGTGGCTGCAGGCAGAGCGCTGGGGTGGCCATTCCTGTCCTGGAGGTTCTGGGAAGTGGTCCGTGGGGGACTCCGAGTGCAGACAGAAGGGTGGGGCTCACCTCCTCCGGGGCCTCTGGATGGACAGGCCAGAGCTCCAGAGGCCCAGGGCGATGGAACCTCTGCATGGGTGGGGCTCAAGGCGACTCCTGCCCTTGCAGCCATTGGAGCGTCCCCAGAGCCAGCCGCCCTCGTGGGCACACAGGCCCTTCCCCGCCCACACGCGACACATCCTGACCTGCCACATCTTCTCCTTCACCATCCTGAGGGACCCAGCCCGGGACCTGGAGTCCGCCTTCTACAAGACGGCCTCGCCCTTTGTCCATGCCTGGAGCCTGCGACACTTCCTGGCCCACACCCGCGCCTTCTACGACACCCGGCGGCCTGACAGCCACTGTGGCCGCAACCTCATGGCCTCGGACCTGGGCTTCGACCACAACGCGCCGCCGCCTTGTGGGGGTGCAAGCGGTGGCCCCGCGCTTCCCCCTGGTGCCATCGCCCAGCACCCAGACGAGTCCCCGGGGCTGCTGCGCCGCGCTGTGCTGGGGTCTGGATGACCTGGTGGCCTTCCCCGCCCACAGGCGCGGCCTTCGCCCGGAGCCGCTGGAGCCGCGCGTGGAGCGCAGGGAGCGCGCCTAGAACGCGCTGGACCTGGCGCTCTGTGCGACCTTGAACCTCACTCTGTGGGCGCGGCTGGGCGCGCTGGGGGCCGCGGGGCTGCGGCCGGAGGTGGCGGCGCTGGGGCGCGGTGGGCGCGCACCTGCCTCCCGCATGGCGAGGCCGCGGGGCCGGGCGCGGAGTTTGACCCGCAGCCCATCCTGGGCTACCAGCTGCGGCCAGACCTGGACCTGGCCAGCCGCCGCCACGGCCGGGACCTGGCCACCCCCGAGCTGCAGTTCGCCAGGCGCCTGTACCTGACCAGTTCCCGGGTCGGGTGTGGGATCCCGGGCGCCCTGGGGGACCAGAGCCCCCGGCCAGGCTGCCTCGCGCCGCAGTCCCAGGCCCAGGGGAAAATGCGGGCCGTGTTCAGAGGAGGACTGGGGTCCTTAGGGCCCTGGAACAGAAGGCCGCGCCCTCAGCCCCTGCTACGTGGGACCCCACAGGGCGGGAGACAGTGGCCAGGAGCCGCAGCTGAACCTGCGCTGTCCCGGCTCCCTTTTCTGCGCATCCTTCCGCAGGGCGGCGAAACCTGTTTTTAGCAACTTTCTTTTCATCTACTTGAAAGCCATGTAGGTCGTCCATGGCAGATGCACGATTCCAAGTCATTTTGGCAGGTTTTTTGTTTTTTTGTGTGTGTTTGTTCGTTTTTTGTTTTTTGTTTGTTTGTTTGTTTGTTTTTGTTTTCAGGAGTTTTGCTCTTGTTGCCCAGGCTAGAGTGCAGTGGTGTGATCTCAGCTCCCTGCAACCTATGCCTTCCGGTTTCCAGCAATTCTCCTGCCTCAGCCTCCCGAGTAGCAGGGACTACAGGCACGCGCCACCATGCCCAGCTAATTTTTTTTTTTTTTTAAGTAGAGATGGAGTTTCACCATGTTGGCCAGGATGGTCCCGATCTCTTGACCTCGTGACCTGCCCACCTTGCCCTCCCAAAGTGCTGGGAGTATAGGTGTGAGCCACCGCACCCTGCATTTTGGCAATTTTTAATGTGGAGAAGGCTCTTTCTGCTAAGGGAACATTCCGGAGATGTTGGGAGTGTCTCATAGGCTGTGGCGAGCTGGGAAGCTGCTCTGCTGAGCCACCTGGAGTCGCAGATTTTAGCACATCTAGAGCAGATGAGCAGCTATTCCCACAAATGTTTGCGCTTCAGACAGATCACTTTTTTGATCATAAGTTTGAGTGTGGTTTTAGAGGCAAATCTATCCTGATTATGTTTGCCCTGACGTTTCCTGTACTTGTGGAGCTCATAGGAGAGACTGAAGGTGAATTCACGATTATACACAACTTACAACGTCTGTTTGTGAATTCTAACAGTGTATCTTCAACTATAAGAAAAATGAATTTCAAAACTTCTTCTGCATTATTACCTGGTTACTCCAACATCTTATATGAAAATTGTGCTCATTTCTGTCAAATGCAGTGGCCCTTGCTTCAAGCCTTGTGGATTTTGTTGAGAATTTCGAGATTTTCAGAAATTCTAAGCTGGAGTAACTCTAACAGCCTCCTGGTTACTTCACGGAGAGGTGGCTGTGTCTGCTCCTCCCAGGCTCAGGTACTGACAGCTCCTGCCTGAGCACCGGGACCTCCCTCCTGGAGGGATCTGTGCAGAGGCTGCAGGCACTCCTGGGGGAACAGACACACCTCCGGCACCCAGGGGCTGGGTGCTGCCACCCGAGGAGAAGCCCCTCTCCTTCCTGGGGCCGCACCCCCTGCTGCTGCTTCTGCGGCTGACATGTGACACCCAGGCACGGCCAGGCCCTCAAGCAGAACGCCTGTGAGGGGAGCTGGTTGGCCCCACCCCCTCAGCTCCCCTGTGTGCTCAGCAGTCCTTTGCCTGGCAGCATCTGGCAGCCCCATCGGGGCCTCTGGAAGACACACAGGACTGGCTCTCAGGCGTGTGCCAGGGCTCCTGTCCCCACTCCACAGCAGGGAAGAGGAGCCCGGGGCTCCAGAAAGAGTCAGCTCTTTGCCTGGGTGGGAGGGGCTTTATGGCGGGGAGGAGGGTGTGTGTGTGAAGGGGCAGCCTCGGGGTGGGGGAGATTCTTCTTTCTCTCCCTCCACCAGACGCTCGTCCAGGAAAATGTGGCCTCACCGGCATCCCCAGGGAGAAGCCCACGCACCATGAGACGGGAATAATACAGGGTGGTTGGAGGGGAGTGGACATTCCAGGCAGCCCCTTCTCATCTCTAGGAAGAGGAAACCCTGCAGGAGCCCGGGGCTGACAGGACCCCACACACCAGGGTGTGGCCGCGCTGGCTGAGACCGCCTGGACCCCACAGGGCTCTGGGTGTGCCCCGGTGTCTCCTGCGGCCTCACGATGCGCTCATTAGCATACGCATCACACCCCCACCGCGCACGACGGCTCCAGAACACCCAGATCTGTGCAAAAATGGGCGGCCCTGCAGCTCGGAGACATCTCCACCTTTTCCAGGAATCCTGTGGATTCTCCTCCGGCCCCAGCGCCCCTGCGTGGGACGGACTCTAGAGGGCGCCACACTCCCTTTCTCCAGTGGGAGCTTCGGCCTTCGCAGGAACTCTCTGCCTTTCACTGTTTGCCGACTCGCCCCTGATTCCTTCTCGCAGTGGTGTCGAGAGCCTGGACGCTGGCCGGGTGGAGGTCTCACTGGGGGTTGGGGTGTCCCCTAGCCCACCGAATCGGGGACATCTCCCTGCTTTCTCCTCTCCTCCTTCCCCCATAGCAGGGGCTGCGGCCCACCAGAGGACGGGGTGCAGCCTGAGGCAGGACCACCACCACCTCACTCACTCCCTCTGGACGGGGCAGCAGGACCCGCAGCAGAGGGACCCTTGTCTCTTTTGGGTGGAAGTTCCCGGACTGGCCCTGTTCTTTGAGAAGGAAATGGCTGGAGGCTCCATATCTCCAGGTCCCAGTTCTGCCACAAGGTCCCAGTGAGTGACCCGGCTTTGGACGACGACCAGGCCATGGTCCTGAGGGTGGTGAACTCAGGGGCGGTGGGACTGGGTGCCCTGTGCCTGGTTCACAAGCCTGCATCCTCAGGCTCCCATCTTCAGCTTCCCGGCGGGTCTCAGGCTTCCCTGGCTGTGGGCTCCCTCCCAGGCACGTCCAGGGCTGCAGCACCATCTTTGCAGACTCGGGACCTAGCAAACTCCCTGGGGTCTTCCCTGTCATCCTGCCCTTTCCTCTCCTGCTTCTTCTGTAACAAGAGGCAGGAAGGAGCCCGTGGGAGATGGGGAGACTCAGACCAGCCTCGGAGCCCGTGGGAGATGGGAAGACTCAGACCAGCCTCACCGTGTTTCCACACACCCCTGCTTGCCCGTCCAGAAACCTCTCTCGGGCCCAGGGGACACACAGGTCTTAGGAATGGTTTATTGACAAACGGCTTCTAGGGGAGTGGCTGGGTTCCCTCTTAGCACGGTCCTCACACGGGGCTCACACAGAGCAAGGCTGCTCAGCTGGAATGTGGCCCGTCAACACTGCGGCGCCCAGGCTCCCGGCCACTGGACCCCTTCGCAGGGGTCTGGGTGTCCCCCGAGGCCAGGGCCGGCTTCCCTCGGGGTGCTCGGTACTTGTTCTTCTGGCTGTAGAACAGGTTCCTCTGGAAAAGGCGGGGAAGCCGGCCCTGGTGCAGCAGCACAGCCAGGACCATCCCTGCAAGAGAAGGCAGATCCTAGGTGGGCCGCAGGGCTCCTGGGCCCAAACACAGACAGGACACCCACTTCCAGGCCTGTGTCAGGACAGGGGAGCCAGGCAGCCTGGCCAGGGGCCCCAAGAACCCTGAGGCCCAGCCCCTGCCTGGTCCTGGTCTTCCCTCCCTGGTCGTGCCCCTCCCTCTAGGTATGCCAGCCGTGGGGATGGGGGCAAGCCCATGGGGTTCCTTGTACTTCTGAACCACCCTCTGGGATGAGTGACTGGAATTCCCCTGCCCCCACATTGTCCTGAGCCACCTGCAGAGCTTCTGTGGCCATTTTCTTCTGGGACATGATGTGGCGTCCCAGGGTGGCTGTTTGCAGGACTGTGGCCTGGCCTAGAGGTGGGATGTGAGTGGACAAGAAAGATGTGGGTGCCCCTTGGTGGGAGGCTGGGCCCACGTTCTTCCAGAACTCCAGGAGCAGAGACTCCTAAATCCCCACCTGCCTTCCAGGTCATTGGGAAGGGCTGGTGTCCTGGGCAGAAGGGGAGAGTGGATCCTCTTCAAGTTTGATCTCAGTCCTCTAAGGATTTAACCCGCAGCGTGTTGGCTCCACTAGGGCTGGCCTGAGCGGGACCTGCCTGTCACCACCTGCAGCTGCTGTGGCTCCGGACAGTGGCCCCTGTGCCTATAGCTTGCTGAGACTGGCCTTTCCCCTCACTCAGCCCTCCAAGGCCCACTCTGGTCCTATCTCTGCTCCCAGGAGGGCAGGCCCAAGGAGGCCGGATGACCTGCTCAGGGGCGCAGCCAGCAGGTGCGGGTGGCCGCTTATACCCAGGGAGCCAGCCCAATGTCCCCACCTGGCTACGGGGCTCCTGCAGCCTCAGAGCTCCCCAGGGCTCATGCTGACACTGCACATGTGGATAAAGGAGGTTAATGGAGGGACACAGCCTGTTTTTCGGGTTCCTGAAGCTGCTCTAAGATGACAGGAAAGGGATGCTGTCAGAAGTGTCAAGCATCCAGATGGATGAGACGGGAAGACACGCAGGAGCACGGCGTGGGACTGACAAGACACCGATGACATAGAGGGGCCGGATCCCCCCCCGCAGGGACGAAAGCCGGGAAACAACCCACTTCTTCCGCAGATGCCCCGTGCTTTCAGAAGCTGGTGCCCGGGTCTCTGTGGGATGGGGTAGCCCTGGGACTCACCTAGGAGGAGGGACAGCAATTCCACATGGGAAGCTCCAGAGCCCCAAACCCCAAAATACAGACACAGCCAGTGCCTCCCTCCCTGGCCCTGGCAGGAGACAGGGTCCCCTCTAGAGGGGGCATGTGGACTCGAGCATCAGGCCCGCCCGAGCCTGGAGTCCCGCCTGAAACAGGGATCCCAGCCTCTTCCCACTTGGCTCCTAGAAGCCGCAGACGCCCTTTGGGCTTCTCCATAGACGTGGTTCTACAGTGAGAGGTTGTAGCGGGGTGAAGAGTATTTCCCCAGCGACATGTCCTTCCCAGAACACAGGATGTGCCCTTGTTAGAAATAGGGTCTGGGACATAACATTAGTTAAATTACAGTGATGTCATACTTGAGTAGAGTGAACCTTAAGTTCAATGACTGGTGTCCGTATATGAAGAGAGAGACAATGACACAGAGGAGGCGGCCAGGGGAATCGGCAGACATGGGAGTGGTGCGTCTCTAAGCCCGGGGACAACGGGGGTGCCAGAGGCCCCCAGAGCAGGGAAGAGGCAGGAGGCTCCTCCCCAGCAGCCTCCAAGGAGAGCTGACCCTGTCAATGCCACGATCACAGGCTCCAGCCCCCAGAGCTGGCTGAGCATACAACCCTGTCACGTGAAGCCTCTTCGTTTGCATCCTTTGCCTTGCAGCCCATGAAGCCACCACAGGCCATGGCGTGCAGCCTGAGAAACTCAGGAGGAAACTGATCTCCCACCCGGAACTCTGCCCAGGCCTCGCCGACACTCAAGTGCAGGTCAGAACCAGGATACTGTATTTCAGACAAAGGAGGTCTGAAGCGTACCTGCCAGGTCCCCGTTCTCAGGAAGCTACTGTGAGACAGGCACCAGCAAAAAGAAGGAATAAACCAAAGCAGAAGGCCATGAGGAAAGCAAGAAACAGAAATGCAACCAGGAGAGAGGTGAAGGGCAGCCCCAGACTGGAGATGGACACCTGTGGGTAACCCGGAGCTGTGGATCCTTGGGGGAGACGGTGCCCACGCAGAGCACTGGTGTTGAATTAACCAAATCACCCAGAAGCCTGGGCAGGGGAGAGTCCAGGACCCTTCACCTCAGGAAGCAAGGCCTGTGTAGGAAGAGAGGCGTCCTGGGCCACCACAGCTCACCCGGGTCGTGTTTCCACGCCAGGGAACTAGCGAGGGCTCTGGAGCTCATCAGGAGGAGGAGGCCGACCCACCCTGGGTGAAGGATCCGCAGGGGAGTGCGGGGGCCGCAAGGGAGGAAAGCCGGCCCCCCACATTGCAGGAGACAGCCCAGGGTTGATGCCTGAACTGAAGAGTCTCAGAGAAGCCCTGCAGGCCAGTGTGTGGGGACAAAGAGGCCAACACTCAGCTGCTTCTTAGCAGAGGGCGGTGCTGCCTCGGGGACGAGGGGCAGGAGTGGGGTCCTGATGCACTTCATGCCCTTTCTAGGGCCGTGCACATGCCTGAGATAGTGTGACCACATCAGAACCACGGCGACAGATCACAATGATGTCAGTGTCACCATTGCAGGGCCAGGGTGCCTGAGAGACCCCCAGCTCCTGTCTTCCCCCCAGGGGAGGCTGAGGCATTGACCCTGAGACCTCCCCAGTGTAGAGCCAGCAGAAGCTGAAAAAAGCTTCCAGAATTCCACAGGAACCCAAGGGCCCTTCTGGTACCTCAGCGAGGTGGAGCCGAGTGTCTGAGAGCAGGTGCAGGAGAAGGTGTGGGCTCCACCTGGGCCTCTGACACCAGGAACCAGAATCCCCAGATCTAGGGCCAAGGGGGACTGCATGACCTCCCCCTGCTGCTCCTCTGCTTGGGTCCAGGATGCAGGGAAGGAGGGGCAAGCACTGTGGGGGAGCTGAGGGGTCCCCTGTGTGCATCAGTGAGTCCCAGACCCGCCCCACCAGGAGGCAAAGGGACCGGCTGCTCCACCCCATGCTCACAGCCCTGTAAGTGCACGATGGCACCCTATATCATCTAAGTGGGGCTCCCTGTATCCTGAGGATTCAGGGACTCCAGAATGAGCCCCTCTCGGGGGAGCCTAGCTCCGGGTATGTGGAGATACCCCCTGGGATGGGAACCCCAGGTTCATGGAGCCCCACTGCAGACACCGTTCCCCATGTGCCCAGCGCCCCTTGCAAGGTTGGCCTCTCCCCAGCCTGCCCCCTTCTTACCTGGCTACAGCTTGCTCGGCACCAGGACGGTGTCCACAGTGAGACATGCCATCACAGCCTCTTCCCCACACACCGTGCCCACTGCAGAGACCTCCCCAGGAGCACTGACCCAGCACCCTCACCTCCACTCTGTAGGACCCCATGTGCCAGGACACTCTCTGGGCCCCAGCAGCCCTAGGGACCCCACCTCGCCCCTGCCCTTACCTGTCAGAGGGCCCAGCCAGTACACCTGGGCATACTCCAGTAAGGTGTGTCCTGAGCAGCCAAAGGTCACAGAGGTGGCCAGGGCAGGGTTGAAGAAGGCGGACGTGAAAGGCCCGGCTGTGGGCAGAGCACAGTCAACCCTGGTCCCCAGCCCTGCCTGACGCCCCTCTCCAGGCCAGGACTTGACACCCACCACCGAACCCACACCGAGAACCCCGCTGTGTGCAGGCCTGGGGGTTGCTCTTGGCTCCTGGAGCCCCACCTGGCCCCCCGTACTGACGGACACATAACACAGCCAGGCTGCTTCAGTCAAGCTCTGGGTCCGGGTCAGCAGCTTGAGGGCCCCAGGGCCATCGAACACCCTCCCGACGTCTCACCCGGACTCCTGTGACCCACCCATGCTACCCTCCAACACCCCACCTTGGAGGAAGTGGCCCTCGAGAAAGATAGGGACAGAGAGAGACAGAGACAGAGACTAAGAGAGACAGATAGTGAGAGAGAGAGAGACAAAACGTGACAGAGACAGGGAGACAGAGAGAGAGAGGAGAGACGGAGAGAGATCTCAGAACCGGGCAGCAGCAGAGGAGAGGAGAGGACCCGGCTGTGTGATGTGAGATGCTGTTCTGCAGCCCCAGGCCAGGGTGACTACCCCAAATAACAGGATCCACCAACACCAGGGACCTGCCTCTGGGCAGGGAAGAGCAGGGAGTGGGCCCAGCAGAGGGCAAGGGCCACAGGGACATGGAGCCTGCGTCCGCCCACGTGGAAACCAGGACCCTGAGGATGGGCAGCTCTGTGCCTGAAACCAGGCTGCTTTGGCTTCATGGAGGCAGGACCTTTGACAGGAGCTCTCCAGTGCCACCCAGGACAGAGGCCCGGGCAATCTGCCACAGACGTGTGTCCCTGCAGAGCTCCCTGCTCACCTGTTCCTCAGTTTCCCAATCTGTACAGGGCTCTGGTGGCACCTTCCTATGGCCTTTGTGGTCCAGGTTCCGTGGTGTCTGCCCAGTGCTGGGTCGGGGGTAGTGCCACGGACCCAAGTGCTGGTCCTGTCCTCATTAGGACCTCGGACCCTGGGAAGGAGACCTGGCGCCATGCTCCCTGCAGCCCTTCCTGTGGTGTCCCCAGTGCCTGGGGCACGAGGCGGCCGCCCCTGGCTCTCCCCACAGCCCCAGCGCGTGGACACCTGTCCCGGGAGCTTGCCGAACAAAGGCTTTTGTGGTGGTGGAGCCTAGCGCTCGGAGGGGAAAGCAGACATGGGGGGCTGGATCAGACGGAGGGTCTGAGTGGAGGGAGCTCACAAGGGGGTGAGGGGACTATGAGAGGTGGGTCCCACGGTCAGCCTAGGTGCAGGCAGGGATCACAGGATGCAGGTGTCATTAGGAGGCCAGGGAGATCGAGTGGGGCAGGTGGGACAGGACCTGTCACTCTGGAAGGGGTGATAGAGGGTGCAGGGACTCCCACACCAGACCAGGGCTGGGCCAGGAAGCGCCTGCCTCGGCCGTCCCAAATACCCCAGATGCAGAACTTCTGGGAGGAACGGGAGCAGCTGGGACTGGGGAGAGGTGCAGTGGCCATGATGGCCCTGGCAGGGGACAGGCTCCTCCACAGCACCCCATGTCCAGCACAGGCCCTCGTCCACCCGCCAGGTCGCAGGAAGTCACCGCCCCTTCTCGTGGGTTTGTTGCCGCCCGGGCCAGCAGCCCGCTCTCCTGGGTGTGAACAGGCCTGAGTGTGCATGGAGGCCACACAGGCGGAGGGGTCTTGAGGGGAATTAGTGCTCACCTGTGTAGGCCGTGACGGTGACCAGCAGAGCCACGGCGGGCACCCTGTAGGCGGGAGGACTGTGCCGCAGGTGCAGGAGGATCAGATGGAAACAAAAGGCGCAGATGGCCTCCACAAGCGCCCCGTGGGGCACAGATGTGCGCAGGGCCGAGCTGCAGCTCTGGGCCATGAGGCTCTGTAGCAGGTGCAGGTCGCTGAGCTCCCAGGCCCAGCAGAGGTGCGTCAGGGTGCAGGCGGCCTGCATGCCCAGCCCCTGGGCCGCCAGCTTCAGCAGAGTGCCAGGCAGAGACGCCTCGGCCATGAGGAACTCCTGCAGGGACACGGTGGGGTTGGCCAAGTCCCCGTCCAAGGTGGCCCCATGTGCCAGGAAGAGCAGGAAGAGCAGGGTGAGCAGCAGGTCAGGCCCGAAGCCCCCAGCCCAGGGCCCGAGCTCAACCAGCATCCTCATCTCCAGGCAGCAGGCCCCGAGCTGCACCGCGCCCACCACCTCCCGGGCCAAGCCTTCATAGGCGCCCACTGGGAGCAGGGCCTTGGAGGCCCGCCTGGCCCCCTCACAGAGGGCGAAGGTGGCAAAGAAGAAGGAGAGGGACACGTTAAGACCTGCCATCAGCCTGGGCCCCGCCGAGGAGCTGTGCCTGCAGGACACCGGAGGGGACAGGGCAGAAGCTGGCCAGTTCCCACAACCCAGAGGGCCCAGGAGTGTGGGAGAGGGCACCTGGGCCTCTGGGAACACCACACCTGCAGCCCCAGCTCCCGCCCCACCAGCTGCCACCCAGGTGCACTGCCAGGATGGCCACAGCGGCCCTGCCCCACAGCCTGGCATCCTCCCGGCACTCGACACACCCGGACGCACTGGCCACGCTCGGCCAGCCCTGGACTCGGGAGACTGGCCCAGCTCTTCTGAGCCTCCAGCTGAGCTCCACTACTCCTACCTGCGCTCTTGGCTCCAGGACCCCAATACCTGCTCCCTGCACCTGGCCCCTCTTGAGGCAGGGTCCCCCAGATCCCTGCACCTCCTCCAGGTCCCTGCCTGAACAAGGGCCCCCATTTCTGCCTCCCTGCATGAATGCAGTGAGGGCCCCATGCTTATTGCACCTGCACTGTGTCCCCACTGGGGTGAGACCCCCACTGAACCTGCACTGTGTCTCCACCTGGGAGGGCCCCTCATGGCCCCTGCTCCTGTTCCCTGACCCTGCCTAGGTGAAGCTCACTCCTGCCTGCACCTGTAGGTGTCTTCCCTTGAGTGAGCACCCTCTGCTCCCTGCACCTGGCTGTGTCCCCACCGAGGCCAGGCCCCCTGCACGTGGGCTGTGTCTCTGCCTATGGAAAGGTCCCCTCATTCCTGGTTGCCTGCACCTCCACTGTGTCCCCACCTCAGCAGGGACCCCCAAGCTTCTTGACCTGCCTAGGGTCCAGTCTGGGTGAGACCCTCCTCCACCTGCTGTGTGTCCCCTCTGGTCAAGAGTCGGCAGCAGCCCCTGCCCCAGCCCCACATTCCCTGCCCTGTGCTGCCCTCACCTGCCCCTCAGGAGAACTCAAGACCACCCCTCACATCAACCTCCCTCCCACCTTCCTGCCCAGAAAGCACTTCCCAGAGATGAAAACCGAAAGTGCCATCGTCATTTGCTTGAAATTCCTGCAGAGGGGACAGTTGCCCACAGCTGCATGGAGATGGTGCTGAGCCTGGGTGTCTGCAGGGGGAGAGAGCCGGGGCTGGGACCATCCAGAGCTCCGGACCCCGAGGGATGGGGCATGAACCCTGCGGGCCCCATGATGGGCAGTCTGTCACCCTGCAGCATGGCTCCTGTCCACTGGGTCTGCACCCAAGCACTGGGACACCAGCCACGGCCATACAGGGTATAGCACGTGGGACCTGCCCGGTGTCCCCCCCGCAGCCCTGTCCTTCTCCCCCAGGACCGACTCCAGCCCCCGAGGGCCTTCCCCCAACCTGGCCCACAGCTCCCCTTTCTCTGAGACTTAGATTTCCTTTTATTTTTGGAAACCCAGTTGGGTCCCACCTGGCGTCCCCCTGGCACAGCTGGGGAGACTGAGACCAGGAGGGAAGGGACCTGCCCGAGGGCACTGCCTGTTTTCAGGGAGAGCCCTGTCCCTGAGAGTTCGTGTCCCTTGAGCATGTTTCAGAGTTTTGTTCCTTTTCATTACTGACTTGAACCCATGTCATGAAGAGTCACAGTCTGGCCGTTTTTCTGATGATGAACATGTGGGTGGATTTCAGTTCTTACTACTATGAATAAAGCTGGTATTAGCATTTTGGTCTATTCCTTTTGTAGATACAGACTTTTATGTCTTTTGGGTAAATTCCTAAAATGCCCCGGGTGAGCTCTGTCCACTGAATAAATCCCAGATCTATAAAATTGGAAAGAAGACTTTATTTCCTAGAAAGGGGTAGGCCCTTCAGGGTGGCCGGCAGAGCCCGGGCCGGGCACCTGGAAGGAGGGGGTTGGGGCAGGAGCTTCCTGCTGAACAGGTCGGCTAAGCACACGCGCTCCCTGGGTTGCTGGAGGAGCCGTGAACATTCAGGAAGGGGTCGTCACTCATGCATACTGAACAAACACGCATGTGACATGCATCCCAAGTTCCCTTGGGGATGGACACGTGACATCTAAATGTGTTCCTATGAGACCCGTGCCTGGAAAGGTGAAGCAGCAACACAAAGGCGCTCAGTGCACAGCCTCTGGAAACCAACCAGAACCAGTCCCTGCTGGGTGGTCCCTGGTCAGAATTACAGAAATCAGCCTCTTGGCCAATCAAACTCAGGGCTTGTGGCACAGAGGAGTGGGGCTGTGTGTCAGTGTCTGCAGTGGGTGAGCTGCACCTGAGTGAGTATGGCTCTCCTGGAGGCCAGCGCTGGTTTAGCTGCAAGAGCAAAAGAGAACCCTCCTGGCCAGCAGCCCCTGGTTTCTGCTTTTAAGTGTCCGTGCGGTGCGTGACTCCACCCCTGCCAGGCAGGGCTTCAGGTCTTGTTGACTGTTTGCTATCTTATCGCCACGAGGAACCTGTTTTGTCCGTCTCCTCTCCGCCTTCACCTTCATGCGGGTGAGTGTGGTGTCCCAACCACAGACGGAGGGGCTGTGACGCGGCGGGTCCCACCTCCCGCTCTGTCATGGCGGAATTTTTGGCATGTTTTTCAGATTTCTCTGGAATCCCCTTGGCCGAGAGGGGTCTGTTCAGCTTGTTGGTGCGGGGGCTCGGGATTTCATTTCTGCTTCTCTTATGGTAGGCGAGTGAAAACGTTTTAAGGGACTGTCCAAACCTTTCCCGAAGTGGTTGCGGTGTTTTAACTCTCGCCATTCGTGTGTGACAGTTTTGGTGTCTTTAAAAGTCGGTGGTGTCGAGATTTAAAAACTGTCTCTCTTCCGCTGATTGTGCGGTTCTGACTCTTCCTGGCTTAAAGTTGCATTTCCCTTATGACAAAAACTTGTTAAACAATTAGTCTTGCACGGTCTGTCCATTCCAGTCTCCTCTGTTCATTTTTAAAGTGGGGTTGTGTGTCTTTTTATTGATTTGTGATAATTCTTTCTATATTCTGGATTCGAGATTTTTGTGTGAGATTTGTTTGGCAGTATCTCCGCAGACTTCCTGGTCATTTTCTGCGTAGTGTCTTTTGATAACTAGAGTATTTTCCTTCGAATAAAGCCAAATTGATTATTTTTAAATGCACTCGTCACTGCTTTCTCCTCCCTGCCCAGGAAATGTCTGTGCACTCTCAGGTCACAGCAATGTTCCCTGATGTTTTCTGCCAGACGTTTCATGATTTCCCTGTGAAGTGAGGTCAATGACACCTATTCAGATAGTCGGCGCTTCTTGCACAACATAAGGGTGCGGTTTTGTGTGTTTCCACGTGGATGTCCAGTTGCTCTGGACGCCACACCCAGCCCTGGCTCCACCTTGTGGGTACAAGGCTCTGCCTCTCCTTAGTGATGGGCAGTCAGAGTGGAAACCCCCACTCCCGCTTTGGGAAAGTCCCCAGATGTCTCTCCTGGACAGTGTTTCCCTCTGAGAAATGCAGCATACCCCATGGAGGCGAGGCTGGCTGTGACGCTGCCCCTGCTGCCCAGACCTCAGGCCGGGACAGGGCGGGCCGCACAGGCCTGGAGTGTGGCCGCTGGAGCCAGCTGGATGGAGGCCCAACTGTGGGAGGCAACTGGCCATCCCTGGCACTGGGAGGGCAACAGACAGGGGTGAAGGGGGGTTTGGGGTGCACAGGCCATGCTTTGGGGACCACAGCCTGGTTTCCAGCCCCTAGGATGCTGCCCCCACTCCCTGAGCTGCCCTCCTGGCCCTGGGCATGGGACCAGGACTGGAGGCAGAAAGCAAGGGGTGGGCTCTGTGTGGGGCAGTGCAGGCCACTCTCAGCCATCACCACCTGCCCAGAACCCCCTCAGCCTGGGCCGAGAGCCCACCTGGCCTATACCACAGCCTGGAGGCCCCACACAGAGCCACCGAGCACAGAGCCCCCCAGCCCACAGCTCCGGGAGGGAGTAGCCAGAGCCACCCCCATCTCCCAGAATCCCTGCCCGGAGCCCCCACAGCCCCCTCCCATGGGCTCTGCTTAAGGACTGACCTTCCTGGACCTCTGGTATCTGCCTGAGCAGAAGGTCAGAGAGCCCACGTCCTGAAGGGTATTAGAGTCCAGTGCCGGCCGGCCTGAGGCCCAGTTACCATCCAACAGGGTGCTGTTGGGGCTCCCTCTGTGGTTCTGAGTCAGGGCCCAGCCTCCCCCCATGACCAGGTCCTGTGCAAGCCCCCAGAGCTTGCCCTGCAGAGGACCCTGGCCAGCCCTGAGCCAGCCTCTGAGGGCCTCATGGGAGCCACTCCTGTCATCTGACCCGTGACCTGTCTAGGACACCTGCCCTCGGCCATGCAGGGCCTCACTCCTGCTCCTGAGCCAGTTCCGCCCGCCTCCCCGCATCCCCTCCAAGAAGCTGGGAGGGGCCCCTGGGAGGGGCTGCATCACTGCAGGGAGCAGGCAGCGGATGCCCGGACTCCACCCAAGGCCAGGAACCCCAAGTCAGAGGAGGTCTTCCTGGAAATGGGCAGCCCCTGAGAAATGAAACTGAAGCCGCAGTCACGTGGAGGTGGCGGTGTGTCAGGGTGGGGTGCAGGAAGCTGTGGGAAGGAAGTAGATCCGTATCTTATTTCTATGGCAGGACATAGTTCAAGCCACAGGGAGGGGAGGGGACCGTTGGAGGAACAGTGGAAGTAGGGGAGGGTCCACCCTGCACTTCCTCTCCCCGGAAACAGGTGCGAGGGGTGCCTGAGGCCTCTGCCCAGGCCACCTCCTCAGTGCCTGGCGGTCAGAGGGTCCACCCCAGTGTGCATGGGAACAGGCCTCCCTTCCACATGAAGGTCACCTGGGGCCACCTCGTGGGCCTTCCCTGTCCTTCCCGATCACTGGGGATGGGGGAAACTGGCCTTGGAAGGCCTGGGGACCCCTCTTGGTCAGCCTTGCCTCTGGCTCAGAGCTTTGGGCCAGGGCCCAACCTGATCCAGGACTGGCTGAGTGTCCCCCACACGGCCACTCTGCTCCCACACCTGGAGGTGGGACTTAGTCAACATGCCCTCCCAGAAGCAGCCAGATGGGGAGGGGGCTACAGGCTCCTCTGGTGTCACCCTGTGCCCACAGCCTAGG